TCAAATTCATAAGTTCTAAAGTGGGAGAATGAAAAATAATTGAAATAAATGAAAAAAATAAATAATTAAAAAATAATTTGAAATTTGAATTTGGATTTGGAATGTAAACAATATATGAAGGGATGTAACTCTCGCGTTTTTAACTTAAAACTCTGGAGTTATATTCATTATCATAAACTATAACTATAACTTTCGCGATGGTCTACGAGTTAATGGACATGTTGTTATGATTACTTTTTAATCGCTAATCTTACTAGGAAAGCGTTGTACAGTTTTTTGTATTTGATGTTGCTCAGTGTCATTTTGTGATGGTGAAAATGTGACTTGCAGCTATTCTTCGTGGATTCAAAATAATATTTCACATCTTCATCTGATTTGATACTAGCTCTATATATAATGTCTTCTGTCATGCACTTTCCGTTTAATGGGCAGGTTGTGTTTTTACGGCAGTTGCACTATTTTTTTATTAGGATTGATTTTAATGTTTTGAATGGGGACTTAATACATGGTTGTTATGTTGGGATATGTAATTATCCTTGTTATTTGTACAGCTATAGCTTATCTTAATGTTATTTCTGTTAAAAATCTTTTTTAGTGTTGAAAAAAATCCAAAGTATACATGAATTAGTTTGAGGAAAATTCTACCTACATAGGTTTTAAAATTACTGTTGTATGGTGGGTTGAACTATATTATTTTACGCTTTTCTTACAACATACTCCAGTTTCAGATTGTGCTTGCTGCTTTCTACTACTTTATTATATATTGATTTATTATCATCAGATATTTGCTTGCTGGAGTTGGTTGATAATCTATATTTGTTTTGTGCAAATTATCGACTATCATTTATGGTGGTTGGATCTACATTCCTATGGTTGTCTAAGTCTTTAGTGCATGGTTTGTATATGTACTTACTTAGGTCGAATGTAACGTCTACGAAACGGATCACTTTAGCGTTGCTTTTGGTGGTAATTTTTAGTTTATGGTCCTTAAAGTATTGGGTTATGTTCTTTCTCATATTGTCTGAGCGTCTTGGACTCTGTTTGCGAAGGAGGATTATCCCATCGTCTCTGTATACAGCGTTGTTGTTTTGTTTTTGTTTTTTTGCTTTTTTTGTTGTATTTTTTTATATATCAGAGATAGATCTAAGCCTCCATAGCAACAGTATCCCAAAAAGATCCCATCTTCTGAAGAATCATATGCTCCCATAGAAATGCAAAAGGCTTGGTTAACCTTCTTAGTCCATAGAGTTCCGTCGTGGTACAAAATCGTTTTCTGTTTCTTTCTTATGATGTTGACATCATGGTCGGATACAGGGCAGTAGTTCTTTGATAACCTAATAGCAGCCTTCAATAGTTCTTCCGTGATAGAGGCGTAAAAGTCTCAGATAGCGTACTGTAAAAATGTGCATTATTCTTTCTTTCTTACATATCTGAATCATTAGATGGCTTCGGCTATATAAATAAATATATATATATATATATATATATATATGTGTGTGTGTGTGTGTGTATATATATATATATATATATATATATATATATATAAGTGAACAGTCAAGTCAACACATAGAGGCGACAGTCTGTTTCATGCTAGACGCAATCGTCAGGTCACCTGACGATTGCGTCTAGTATGAAACAGTGTTGACTTCAATGTTCACTTTATATTGACACACCTCTATCTCTGATATTGAGCACTTTATCCCATAAATGTAGCACTTCTTTAGACTATATTTCTTCATATATATATATATATATATATATATATATATATATATATATAACGTCGAATCTGAGGTAAGCACCGAGAAGTGATAGTCTATTTCATACTTGATAATAAACACGCATAGCCACCCAACACACACGCATATATATATATATATATATATATATATATATATATATATATATATATGTAAGGTGGGGCAAAAGTAACATCATCTTAAACCTAAAAATGGCGTTCACTTTGCTGTTTATCTCAGTGTCCACTTTTATATTTACATAGGCTATATCTTTGACATTAAGAATTTTTATCCATGAATATAAGATGCCTTAATACTATAATTATCCTACTTATCTCATATATATATATATATATATATATATATATATATATATATATATATATATAGAGAGAGAGAGAGAGAGAGAGAGAGAGAGAGAGAGATGTTTCACTGAATAATTTAGGCAAGTTTTTCTAGTTGTTTTCAAATGGATCCTTTCATATTCACGGACAGATTTCGTGGTATCATGATTAAAAGAAGAGAAAATTACCGTATTGATACATATAGTTTGTTCCGTATTTTTCGACATTAGCACAATGTCATCATCGGAGTGTTGCTTATTTCACGACAAATATAGCGTTCATCATTTTCATTTAAAAAAATGCTGTGTTCATGAGAAAGTTAAAATGTTTTACTTGTGAAGTAAAGAACGCTGAGTTGAGTGCTGTGAGGTCGGCTTCAATAACGCTTGAGAGAAGTTAAGTAAAATATGGTGTGTCCAGTGTTTTTTAAGAAATGAGTATTAAAACTATTAGTACAGACCTCGATATTTTAAACTATCTAATCTAAACATTTTAAAACATTTGTAACGTATTCATATTTCATTTTATGAAGGTTTGGTTTCAATTTTTTTTTAAAATATGGATAGCTTCAAGAGATTTTAGATTATGTTTATTATTTTCAGAAAAAAATTATAGATTTATAATCAACAAGAATTTTTTCTAAATTGTGAATGTGGACAGGTATGATGTTGGACGCATGATTCAAATGGGAAGTCAGCCGTTGAAACAACATGGCTGTAGTTTGGCCAACATAATTTTTTTTTCCGTTGGAGATACAATCTCCCAGAGTACATTTGAATTTATATACAATTTTGGTTTTCTGTAACACGTCAGTTGGTGAGAGAGAGTCATTAAAAATGACAGAATTAGATATACTAGATTTAATGTATTATATAATTGATTTTTTTTTACGATAATCTGTAATGGAAATGTGTAGTATTTATTAATTTTAAAGGATATTTTCCTCTTGTTTATAATTAGAATATATTTGGTTTCGATATACAACATTTTTATATAAATATAAACAAAGCGAAAATATTCGTATCTATCTATCTATCTATCTATCTATCTATATATATATATATATATATATATATATATATATATATATGCATGTATGTATGTATATTGATGGATTCGCATCCCAGAAATTCAAACGTAAAACACGAACATAACATGTAAAGGAATTATCTGAATTCTTTTTATTTTTCTGTTTCGCTGAATAATGTCATTAACTTTATGTTTTTTTTTCTTTTTAATTTGTCTACAACTGCAGGCAAACACCAGTGCGACAGGATCACACGTTTTGTCGTTTCTTAACGACAAGATTGATCCAAACTTTTGATTCGATATCATTCAGACGATTACCCTTGATTCAAATGCAGCTGTAGAATCAGCTCACAATGGATTTGGTTTCATGTTTCGTGAGATTTTCACCATTTTTTACTTTACGAATTTCCGTCAAGAGGAACCGACTTCACAGGCATTCGTGTCTCGAACGGAAGGCGAGAGAAGAAGGTTCGCTCTGACTTATAGTTAGAGCAAGAGTTTTTCAAATAATCATTTCATCCCGATAGCTATGTTGAAATAAATTAGAATATTATTCAAAGAGAAAGACACAGACAGATACACACACACACACACACACACACACACACATACATATATATATATATATATATATATATATATATATATATATATATATAATGAGTAAATGTATGTAGATATATTTATAAATACATGTTAATATGTAGATATAAATTGTAATATCATACTTGGAGACGAAATAATTGTTTGTAGACCGAGAGATGTTTTTTTATTTCATCTCCAAGTTTTTGATTTTATAAGGAAAAGTTATGCCTGACGATGAATAAAGGATTATTCGAAAGTACTTGCATGTAAAAACAAATATAAACTGGAAACAACATACAGCCGTTTTATAAATGAGGAACACGTCACTCTATGGATTAACAGTATTTTAATGCATACATTATACCCTACTAGCGATGGATGTCGCCAATAATAGCATTAATATTGTGTGATTATTTCTTTGTATATATATATATATATATATATATATATATATATGCGTTTGTCGGTCATGTTCATTTTGCTTAGTTTTATAAGATGGACTGATTGTTCCAAGGAGATGGCTTAGAATTTTTGTTGTGGCTTTTGCCAGCTTCTGGAGAGTGCTGGCTATTCATGAGATAATGGGGCGTATTGGGATACCACTCTATGCTACTTTAATAGTGATTGTTAGAAACAAAAGAATTGCATTACCAGTAGGATCGCTTCTCACTGGACAGACGATCATGTATCTTATAATTTCTCGAATCCGGTTCTTTCTGAAATATTTTCCCCAAACAATCAACATATTTTCGATGTATTGAGGATTCGCCATTGATATATTCTCGTAATACTGATTTACCTCACCTAGTAGAGCAGCTAAACATATTCGAACACACAATAGAATTTACAATCGAAATGTAAAAAACGAAATGTAAAAAACTTAACAGAGAGGAGTTTTATAGAGGTGAGTGGAAGGGGGAAATATGAATGTTGTCGGATGTCTAATACATTAAAGATGCATTTACGTTTTAATCTCCCACCTTCTCTCGTCTGTAACCCCTCTCTTTAGCTCTAAAATTCCTCCCACACTCTCATACTTACACTCTTGAATTCTATTTTTATTTCCGGAGTTGTTTTTTTTTTTTCTGTTTTCTTTTTGAATTTGTAGGTCTGATGAATTGGATCGTATTTACGTTTCCAATGGAATAAATTATGACCATGGAATATTAGTGTTTAAGCCTCTTTATTATATATATATATATATATATATATATATATATATATAAAATATATATATTAGCAAAAATAGAAAGATATCAAAACAGTTAATGCAAGAGTGCACCACGAAGAAAAGTAGAAGAAATCATAGAAAAAAATTGAAGAAACGTAAAACGAGGAAAAGATAGTGAAAAAAAAACAAATATTCATTGACAATAATGGGAAAATAAGGAGGAATAATGACTGAAAGAAAGCATAAGAAACAATGAAAGGCAAGAAAGAAATAGAATAAGATATGAAAAGAAAGAAAGAAAGACATGTAAATTTGGCAAATAGAAATCGAGATAAAAAGAAAAGACTGAACAATAAAAAAGTTGGAGAAAGAAAAAAAAGAAAAAAGTGAAAGAAGGAAATACCTGTAAATGGGAAACCGAAAAAAAGAAGTAGTAAGCCAACACGAAACAAAATAATAGGAGAAAAAGAAAGACATAAGGAACGTGAAAATAAGGAAAGGAATAATAAACCTGAGAAAATGAGTGGCATAGCAATAGAAGAGTAAATCAAGAAATTCTTCTCTCGCAGTCACGGATTCCGAAGCGAATCTACTTTGAAGAAGCCACGGTCAGTAGCAGGAAATGTTTCGGTGCTACGGTTGACCGATTTTCTAAGAAACACGTTTCTGCATGATAAGGGCGAATGGAAGGAAAAATGAAGAATGCAGACGAGAGATTCCAACACTCAGCTTCTGTCTCCTTCCGGTATTCTCGTGGGCATCGAGACATGATTACAACCCGAATGCACGACACATGTAAAGCTTGGAAATTCGGTGATGATCGTGATCGCTATAAGATTGAAAAGAAACAAAAGAAATGGATAGTAGGAAAATATCAAAGGAAGACAAACTACAATTGTAAAAAAGTAAAAAAAAAAAAAAATGAAAGATGCAGACGACATAGACAGTGATTTTTACTATTACAGAAGATAGATAAAAATGACACACAAAAGAAGAATAACAAAACCAGACAAAGTGATGGCGCCGAAGACGATGTATAATAATGACAATGTCGATTATGTAAGGGAAAGATGTAAAGAAAAAAAAATTCTTTCAGACAGAATTCCGAATGATTACGTGTAAAAATTGTCTCGATTTATTTTTATTTAATTTTATCACAGACACCAGTAGAAAAAGAAGGCTAAAAAAAAAAAAAAAAAAGAGATATTTGTCGCATCATGAACAGTGTAAGAAAAAACAAACTCAAAAACAGTCTGCGTCATGTGTTAAAAAACGAGGAAAAGAAAGAGAAACTTTGATTTGTTAATTTACAGAGATTTTTTTAATCAGGTTCATCCCCAGCAAGGCAATAAATCAACTAAGACATAAGGGTTTACTGGGTACGTAAGGATTAAAAAAACAGAAATATTAGTAAGGAGCGAGAACAAAAGAAGACTAATCAGGAGGACAGTAGGTAGCGATTGACATTGTATTTAAATTTTTGAAGTTTAATGCTGGCTGGAAAGCATGGAGCTGGAAGGGAGTTCCATAAGCGAGAAATGCGAGAAAAAAAACTGTTATAATAGAGCCTATGGTTACATGTAGCCAACTCTAATGTAAATTGATAGATTATGTTTGTTTTCATTGCATTTATATTTGAAAAAAAAATACAATTGGTTATCGAAAATGTCAAAGATATGAGCACCATATTGGGAATGTTAAAATGAAGCATGTACAGAAAATTTAATATCTGGGCAGTGTTGCAAAATATTTAGTGGTTGAGTGAATCGTTTCTTACGGTTTATCAACCCTTTGAAAGTTATTTAAAGCCAGGAAATATTTTTAGAATTTAGGAATTTCTATTTTTTTAGATATTGTTTACTGATAAATGTCCTACTAATTAACGTAGAGCTAACAGGGGAAGAGGAATTGATCCATCACCTTTCCCAAGTGTATTTTTGCGTAAGAGCATATGAAGAACCAATTGGAATTGGAACTTAGCTCACCGATTAACAATTCTATTATCCGTTACATCACCCGCACATCAATGCTTGCAGCACCTGGTATTCACATGCGGTCACCGATCTTGGTATTGACCATCTCGACGTTGATAATCGTACGGTAACCGGTGTTTTAACGTGTAGCAAAAGAAACTTACGGGTAAATAACACTGAGACACTGTTGTGGTAGGATCCACCTAATTTGCATAGTGGAGTACCGACCATATAAATATGGTTGGTACCGGGAAAAGAGGGAGGAAACAAGAGATTCACTCTCAGTCGAACTCTCTGCATTTTGCAGTGAGGGACCCGGACGAGGCTTTGCCGAGAGGCAGGGTTTCGTCCGGGGTAGTAGACAGGCCTTGAACCCATCTAGGCGGGTTCAGAAAGGCCATATTTTTGGCCGAGCCTACGGGCTCGGAGATACCAACTTTAAACTGGCCTTGTGCCACATTTTATCCTCGTAGGTGGATAGATAAATACAGCAATCAAGAGATTCAACCAGAGACTCTGCCCGACTGCGACTCAGTCAACACATTCTCCAGGAACGGGTTTACCAGGAATATACAAAAGACTATATGTAAATATTGTGTACGCTTTCTTGTTTCAATACATTTTGTTCTAAGTACATTTTGTGTTGCATTATTATTCCATGCATTAGTCAAGTTTCAACAATTAGAAAGAAAAAAGAGCGCTAAATACTTTACTCGGAAATTCTCATCCACTCAACACATGACTCGTCCAGGGTACCCACACCTGTTTCCCCCCTAGAAATAAGGCTACACTGAGTGAGATGTGCATAACTACTTCGAGAGTGTTAGGCAGTATCCCTAAATTAGACTCTCATAAAGCAAGTGGTGATGACGTAGTCCTAAAGAAATAATTTTACCCATTGATCTGAGAAAGCTGTTGTATACACTTGGCAATTTGGATATTTTTGAACGGGTTTGAGGCGATGCATGGCATCCAGATGAATGTCTCGACCTGATCAGAGTGTTTAAAGACATGACTCGAATTTTAGGTTTATACTTTCTATTTTTATCCACTTTGGGGATGGACGAAATTACCGCCAGTGCAGTTCAGTTTTTTTATCTCATAAATTTGATATACTCGATCTATACACCGACATATTTGAAGTGTTTACTAATAGTAGTTCTATATCAAGATATGAGTCATCACTGCTTTCATTCCAGTTCTATATCATGATTTTAATTTCGGAAAGCTTTATCCTGAGCTCAGCTAAGTTTAGTATAGAACGTAATCGGTATCACCCCAAATAAGGCAGTACAGCCACTGGCACGCAAGGATTTACAGGTTGTGGAGGAATTAGAAACAGAAACATTAGTAATGATTAGTGTTGTGGTAGGATCCACCTAATTTGCATAGTGGAGTACCGACCATATAAATATGGTTGGTACCGGGAAGAGAGGAAGGAATCAAGAGATTCAACCAGAGACTCTGCCCGACTGCGACTCAGTCAACACATTCTCCAGGAACGGTCTTACCAGGAATATATAGACTATATATAAATATTGTGTACCCTTTCTTGTTTCAATACATTTTGTTCTAAGTACATTTTGTGTTGCATTATTATTCCATGCATTAGTCAAGTTTCAACAGACACAGATTCTGGTTTGTTTACTAACGTTATGCAGTGTCAAACCGAGTCAGTATATTGGGCTACTTCAGAATAAAAGTAATACAAAACCATCTGGCTATGGGACTAGCAAATTCATCCAATAAAGGCTTGCTTTCTATGGAAAACACAGTAATCCTGAGAGGTTTTGAGATACACCCTGTGAGGGTAAGTTTTCCAAGACCGTCTTTATTATGCGTCCAAGAAACTTCAGATGTCTGTTCGCGATTCTGAGTCTGTGTGTTCTTTAATTTGACATTTTTTTAAAAGATTTCTTCATTATCTACTCGCTCCGTCCATGAAAGCATCAGTATCATTCTGTAGAATCACAACCTTACTATCAAAAACGGAACGCGGAACTGCTACCTGTAAGGAATACTGGACAATCTCTTCCAATATGAGATCTAATATGCATCTTAAATTAACATAAATACGATAGCATATTAAAAAAAAGAAACCAAACGGACACTTCGAAAGACAAGCAAAGAAAAGTAACTTACTTGTTATTTATCTTTATTTTTTTGCCCCGTATCTCTTCAAGAACCTGCGGGGTCATGGCTCTCCACAACTTTCTCATATTTGTTGTTCTTCACCATCACTATTTGTCGTTGTTATGCCATCCTTTCATAAAACCTCATTATGCAGGTTAGTCACTGTTTCTTCTACCTTTGCATAATTTCACTATTTCTTGTGAGTGATGGACTCTCCAAACCTTTTTTCCTCATGATGTGCCCTAGAAATTTTAAATGATTGTTCTTAATTCTTAATTAATGTTTCTTCTTAAGTACGAGTGTACTTTTTGTATCCATTTTCCTTAAAGCATCCTGATTGATCACATGTTCTTTCCGATTTAGTCTCATCATCCTTCTGGAGAATCAAATTTCTCTTGCCTGATGTCTACTCTTCACCGATGAGGAAAATGGTCAACATTTCACTACCATATAGTTGAATTAATATCATCTTCCTTGTTTTTTTTTTTTTTTTATTTGCCGTGTCCCTTTTAGTGGGAGATCATGGATGACAGCCTCCTTTCTTGTATCGCTGTAAGCAATATTTGTTCTATTATATTCTCTATTAGGCCAACGCTGCATTTTTAACTTAATCTGGCCCTGTGGGTTACTGTTTTTTTTTTTCACTTTGTCCCAAGAGTAGTCAGAAAGTTTTATGTTCCCCAAACAGCATCCATTCCTCACGTGTATCAGAAATTTCAACTCTCTAATTTTGATTCTAATGCAAGCATCATTTCTGTTTCCATTTTCCTTATAACGTCCTCATTGGTTACAAGTTCTGTTCATGGTAGAACAACATGCCTGCTGCCCTCAGGTTACTTCTTCGCCTGTGAGCGATTTTCTTATCTTTCGCTACCATTTTGGACGGCTGATATTACATATGTTATGCGCTCTTTGTTTCTAACATGTTTTTTTTTCTTTGCATACATGTCTATCAAACTGTCAGCAAATGCTTGCTGACAAATTTAATAGAAAATATTATCAGCAAATTGTCCATATCTCGCTACCATTTTGAAGGATTTATATTACATCTCAGTTCAATTCTTTTCATTCTTTCTAACGTAATTTGTTTTTCTGCATCCTTGTCTATCGAATTGTCAGCAAATGCTTCCTGGCAAATTTAATAGCAAATATTATCAGCAAATTGTCCATATTTCTCTACCATTTTGAAGGATTTATATTACATCCCAGTTCAATTCTTTCCATTGTTTCTAACGTAATTTGTTTTTCAGCATCCCTGTCTATCAAATTGTCAGCAAATGCTTCCCGGCAAATTTAATAGCAACTATTATCAGCAAATTGTCCATATTTCTCTACCATTTTGAAGGATTTATATTACATCCCAGTTCAATTCTTTCCATTGTTTCTAACGTAATTTGTTTTTCTGCATCCTTGTCTATCAAATTGTCAGCAAATGCTTCTCGGCAAATTTGATAGCAAATATTATCAGCAAATTGTCCATATTTCTCTACCATTTTGAAGGATTTATTTTACATCCCAGTTCAATTCTTTTCATTCTTTCTAACGTAATTTGTTTTACTGCATCCTTGTCTATCAAACAGTTTCAGCTATTGTTTCTCAGTAAACTCTCTCAGAAAGTTGTCCATCTTTCGGTATCATGTTATAGGATTCATTTCATACCCAG